GAGAGCACCAGAGGGGGGGAAGGAGAGCACTGGAGGGGGGTAAGGAGAGCACTGGAGGGGGGGAAGGAGAGCACTGGAGGGGGGAAGGAGAGCACTGGAGGGGGGAAGGAGAGCACAGGAGGGGGGGAAGGAGAGCACTAGAGGGGGGAAAGGAGAGCACTGGAGGGGGGAAAGGAGAGCAGTGGAGGGGGGAAAGGAGAGCAGTGGAGGGGGGAAGGAGAGCACTGGAGGGGGGGAAGGAGAGCACCAGAGGGGGGAAAGGAGAGCACTGGAGGGGGGGAAGGAGAGCACTGGAGGGGGGGAAGGAGAGCACCAGAGGGGGGAAAGGAGAGCACTGGAGGGGGGTAAGGAGAGCACTGGAGGGGGGGAAGGAGAGCACTGGAGGGGAGGAAGGAGAGCACTGGAGGGGGGGAAGGAGAGCACTGGAGGGGGGGAAGGAGAGCACTGGAGGGGGGGAAGGAGAGCACTGGAGGGGGGAAAGTAGAGCACTGGAGGGGGGGAAGGAGAGCACTGGAGGGGGGGAAGGAGAGCACTGGAGGGGGGGAAGGAGAGCACCAGAGGGGGGGAAGGAGAGCACCAGAGGGGGGAAGGAGAGCACTGGAGGGGGGGAAGGAGAGCACCAGAGAGGGGGAAGGAGAGCACTGGAGGGGGGTAAGGAGAGCACTGGAGGGGGGGAAGGAGAGCACTGGAGTGGGGAAGGAGAGCACTGGAGGGGGGGAAGGAGAGCACAGGAGGGGGGGAAGGAGAGCACTAGAGGGGGGAAAGGAGAGCACTGGAGGGGGGAAAGGAGAGCACTGCAGGGGGGAAAGGAGAGCAGTGGAGGGGGGAAGGAGAGCACTGGAGGGGGGAAGGAGAGCACCAGAGGGGGGGAAGGAGAGCACTGGAGGGGGGTAAGGAGAGCACTGGAGGGGGGAAGGAGAGCACTGGAGGGGAGGAAGGAGAGCACTGGAGGGGGGGAAGGAGAGCACTGGAGGGGGGGAAGGAGAGCACTGGAGGGGGGGAAGGAGAGCACTGGAGGGGGGGAAGGAGAGCACTGGAGGGGGGGAAGGAGAGCACTGGAGGGGGGGAAGTAAAGCACTGGAGGGGGGGAAGGAGAGCACTGGAGGGGGGGAAGGAGAGCACTGGAGGGGGGAAGGAGAGCACTGGAGGGGGGAAGGGGAGCACCAGAGGGGGGGAAGGAGGGCACTGGAGGGGGGTAAGGAGAGCACTGGAGGGGGGGAAGGAGAGCACTGGAGGGGAGGAAGGAGAGCACTGGAGGGGGGGAAGGAGAGCACTGGAGGGGGGGAAGGAGAGCACTGGAGGGGGGAAAGGAGAGCACTGGAGGGGGGAAAGGAGAGCAGTGGAGGGGGGAAGGAGAGCACTGGAGGGGGGAAGGAGAGCACCAGAGGGGGGGAAGGAGAGCAGTGGAGGGGGTAAGGAGAGCACTGGAGGGGGGGAAGGAGAGCACTGGAGGGGGGGAAGGAGAGCACTGGAGGGGGGGAAGGAGAGCACAGGAGGGGGGGAAGGAGAGCACTAGAGGGGGAAAGGAGAGCACTGGAGGGGGGAAAGGAGAGCACTGGAGGGGGGAAAGGAGAGCAGTGGAGGGGGGGAAGGAGAGCACTGGAGGGGGGGAAGGAGAGCACCAGAGGGGGGAAAGGAGAGCACTGGAGGGGGGGAAGGAGAGCACTGGAGGGGGGGAAGGAGAGCACCAGAGGGGGGAAAGGAGAGCACTGGAGGGGGGTAAGGAGAGCACTGGAGGGGGGGAAGGAGAGCACTGGAGGGGAGGAAGGAGAGCACTGGAGGGGGGGAAGGAGAGCACTGGAGGGGGGGAAGGAGAGCACTGGAGGGGGGGAAGGAGAGCACTGGAGGGGGGAAAGTAGAGCACTGGAGGGGGGGAAGGAGAGCACTGGAGGGGGGGAAGGAGAGCACTGGAGGGGGGGAAGGAGAGCACCAGAGGGGGGAAGGAGAGCACCAGAGGGGGGGAAGGAGAGCACTGGAGGGGGGGAAGGAGAGCACTGGAGGGGGGGAAGGAGAGCACTGGAGGGGGGTAAGGAGAGCACTGGAGGGGGGGAAGGAGAGCACTGGAGGGGGGGAAGGAGAGCACTGAAGGGGGGGAAGGAGAGCACAGGAGGGGGGGAAGGAGAGCACTAGAGGGGGGAAAGGAGAGCACTGGAGGGGGGAAAGGAGAGCACTGCAGGGGGGAAAGGAGAGCAGTGGAGGGGGGGAAGGAGAGCACTGGAGGGGGGAAGGAGAGCACCAGAGGGGGGGAAGGAGAGCACTGGAGGGGGGTAAGGAGAGCACTGGAGGGGGGGAAGGAGAGCACTGGAGGGGGGAAGGAGAGCACTGGAGGGGGGGAAGGAGAGCACTGGAGGGGGGGAAGGAGAGCACTGGAGGGGGGGAAGGAGAGCACTGGAGGGGGGGAAGGAGAGCACTGGAGGGGGGGAAGGAGAGCACAGGAGGGGGGAAGGAGAGCACTAGAGGGGGGAAAGGAGAGCACTGGAGGGGGGAAAGGAGAGCACTGGAGGGGGGAAAGGAGAGCAGTGGAGGGGGGGAAGGAGAGCACTGGAGGGGGGAAGTAGAGCACCAGAGGGGGGGAAGGAGAGCACTGGAGGGGGGTAAGGAGAGCACTGGAGGGGGGGAAGGAGAGCACTGGAGGGGGGGAAGGAGAGCACTGGAGGGGGGAAGGAGAGCACTGGAGGGGGGAAGGAGAGCACTGGAGGGGGGAAGTAAAGCACTGGAGGGGGGGAAGGAGAGCACTGGGGGGGGGAAGGAGAGCACTGGAGGGGGGAAGGAGAGCACTGGAGGGGGGGAAGGAGAGCACCAGAGGGGGGGAAGGAGGGCACTGGAGGGGGGTAAGGAGAGCACTGGAGGGGGGGAAGGAGAGCACTGGAGGGGGGAAAGGAGAGCACTGGAGGGGGGGAAGGAGAGCACTGGAGGGGGGGAAGGAGAGCACTGGAGGGGGGGAAGGAGAGCACTGGAGGGGGGGAAGGAGAGCACTGGAGGGGGGAAGGAGAGCACTGGAGGGGGGGAAGGAGAGCACTGGAGGGGGGGAAGTAAAGCACTGGAGGGGGGGAAGGAGAGCACTGGAGGGGGGGAAGGAGAGCACTGGAGGGGGGGAAGGAGAGCACTGGAGGGGGGTAAGGAGAGCACTGGAGGGGGGGGAAGGAGAGCACTGGAGGGGAGGAAGGAGAGCACTGGAGGGGGGGAAGGAGAGCACTGGAGGGGGGGAAGGAGAGCACTGGAGGGGGGGAAGGAGAGCACTGGAGGGGGGAAGGAGAGCACTGGAGGGGGGGAAGGAGAGCACTGGAGGGGGGGAAGGAGAGCACTGGAGGGGGGGAAGGAGAGCACTGGAGGGGGGAGGAGAGCACCAGAGGGGGGAAAGGAGAGCACTGGAAGGGGGTAAGGAGAGCACTGGAGGGGGGGAAGGAGAGCACTGGAGGGGAGGAAGGAGAGCACTGGAGGGGGGGAAGGAGAGCACTGGAGGGGGGGAAGGAGAGCACTGGAGGGGGGAAGGAGAGCACTGGAGGGGGGAAAGTAGAGCACTGGAGGGGGGAAGGAGAGCACTGGAGGGGGGGAAGGAGAGCACTGGAGGGGGGGAAGGAGAGCACCAGAGGGGGGGAAGGAGAGCACTGGAGGGGGGTAAGGAGAGCACTGGAGGGGGGAAGGAGAGCACTGGAGGGGAGGAAGGAGAGCACTGGAGAGGGGGAAGGAGAGCACTGGAGGGGGGGAAGTAGAGCACTGGAGGGGGGGAAGTAGAGCACTGGAGGGATTTTTGTACTGGAGCATTGGAGGCGCTGGAGGCGCCTCAAAACTAGACTCCTATCACGCGGTTTTTATACAGAGAGGATTTTTGTTACATGGAAGGCTGGGCGTAACATTCAAAAGTTACTGGTGCGCGTGAGGCTCCCGAAGCTACCAGTTGGAGAACCGTGACATTTACATGACATCACCTCGAAGACTGAAGACTTGACCCGAGGAATTTTCCAGGGTGTTCAGGATTGGCTGCCCAGATTTCAGCCTCGATTGTTACATGCCTAGATTTTGGTACTGTCGAGGGTTTTCCTGCTTAAAGAGCTTCTCTTACTCACTTGCATAGTTCCTTTCTGCACTGATGAAGATGTTCTAGGGTCCTTACCTTAGACGTCGAAACATGTTTGCTTTAATATTTTAAATCGGAACTGAGTTCAGTTTTCTGAGATCTCGGCTATTACACGGGCAACTTGTGTATTTCACTGTCAATCTTTTTGCTAAAAGTTTCGATTACACTGCTGCTCCCTTCTATCATGGCTAACAACGCGGGGAGGGGGAGAAAGGATAGCAGGAGAGGGGGGGATGACGAGCAAAAGAGGGGGGGGCGTTGTGTTAGGCTATAGAGGAAGAGATATGCGCACGTGAATCGGGGGGGCGTTGCGTGAGTGGCGCGGGGAGACCGCAGTGAGGAGCGCGGCAAAGGTTTAGCGGCAGCGCTGATTTCGCGCTGGTTTCTGGGCTAGAGAGGTCGCAAGGTTAGAGCTGTGGCGCGGATCGCGGTTTAGAACAGAGCAGCTTCCCGTTTGGTGCGCGCGACGAGGCGGGATAGACGTGAGAGTGAGCGGGGGATACTTGAGTCGTGTCTGATCTGCGTCGTAGACTAGACTAGTGCCGTGGATTGTGTTGGGTGGAGTTGGTTTTGGGGCAGGAAGGCCATTACCTCGATGTCCCTGTTTCCTTGTCTCCAGCTTTCTGTCGCCTCGCTCCTCTGCGTGCTTGATTGTGTTTTTTTTCCTGATTTCGTTTTCCATACGAACCTTCTCAAATGTACTCTGCCTACTTGCGTGTTTGCGAACGCCTTCTTAGGCGTGGTGGGATCAGGGCATCGCCAACCGTCCACGCTTGCGATGTCGTCAGCGTTGGCGAGGTCGTTTCTTCCGTTGCAAGAGCCCTTCCCTTCGCGTGGACCATGCTTGGGTTTTTAGCGAGGGTGCGCTCCTCACTGATTTCGCCACCCCTCTTCAAGTTCAAAGTGCTTTGAACCTTAAAGTTAGTGCATACGTTCGCTTTAACAAGCCCCTTCAGCACAGTGGTTAGCGGCTGATCTTTCTGAGACCTACTACCATCCTAGTCAAAGCCCCCACCCTAAATCTGGTCGTCGTACCACAGCCTCCTGTGCTAGAATTCTCCCATGCGCTCGTTGGTGCCACAGCCCTGTGGCCAAGTTCGCCAGCATGTCTCGTTTCGAGCCCTGTTTTGAGGCGCCGCCTTACTTCTCCCCAGCACCACCACCGCCAGCAGCAGCAGCGGCAGCAGTATCGCCGCTGATTCTGGCTGAGGCTCCCACTGCTTCCTCCATGTGCTCGTGCCACACTGCCTTCACATCCTACTTCCCAGCAGCACCATCGCCCGCAGCACCAGCAGAAGTAGCACCATCGGCCTCAGTGATTCTAGCCGAGGCCCCCACCGCTTCCTCCATGCGCTCGTACCACGGCCCTATGGTCGAGTTTGCCACCATGTCCCTGCCAGCTGTCAGGTGCCTGATTGGCCGCAGCACGCCAAACACCGCCAGGTCAGCAAGGTTCGGGGTGTCTCCTCCTGATGACGTGGACAGCACATAATGAACCAAGTCAGAGGGGCGCATGGGTGAAGGGGGGGAAGGGGAGTACGGGCGCAGGGAAAAAAACACACAGAACAGGCCAACGCACACTCAAGGTAACAACAACAACAACAAGAATGTGGTTGCGATGACAGCTGGAAGGTACAGGTGAACTACACCCACAACACAGCTCACCCAGGAACTTCCTGCCTCCAAGCACCGCCACTCACACATCAGCCGCCTTGTAGAAGCCCCTGCGCTCGTCGCAATGCCGTGCGACGATCAGTGAGTCACCAGAGGAGAGCAACTTACCAGAGAACTTCCAGCCTCCGAGCGCCGCCACCCACACGTCAGCCGCTTTGTAGAGGTTCCTCCTCTCCACTGCTATCCCGAACTTCTTCTTCAGCTTCTTGCCTGTCAGTGAACCTACAAGGCTACAACTCACCCAGGAACTTCCTCTCTCCAAGCGCCGCCACCCACTCGTCAGCCGGCTAATAAAGGTCCTTCCTCTCGTCTGCTATCCCTTGCTTCTTCTACAGCTTCCTGCCGATCAGAGACTCACCAGAGGAGTGCAACTTATCAAAGAAGTTCCTGCCAACGAGGGGACAACTCACCCAGGAACTTCCTCTCTCCAAGAGCCGCCACCCACTCGTCAGCCGCCTTATAAAGGTCCTTGCGCTCGTCCGCAATGCCGTGCTTCTTCTTCAGCTTCTTGCCGATCACATACATGGCACCCGCGCCAAAGTACCGTGCCATAGTGCGCTCCCACGCCGTGAAGTTGCCTGGGGGAGGAAGGAAGGAGGAAGGGGGGGGTGAGCGGGGTGGGGTGGAGCAGGGAGGGGGAGAGTCTGTGTCCATGCCCGTGATTCTTTCCATAGTGTGAGGGAGAGTCTGAGAGTCCCTTCTACAGCTTCTTCCCAATCCCATAGACGGTGTCCGCACCAAAAAACTGCGTGCCATCCTGCACTCCAATGCTGTGAAGTTGCCCAGGGGAAACAGAGGGCAGGGGGGAGGGAGGGAGAAGCAGGGATGGAGTGAGGGGGGGAGTGGACGAGGGAAGAGGGAAGAGGAAGAGGGGAGAGGGGAGAGGGGAGAGGGAAGAGGGAAGAGGGAAGATGGAAAGGGGAGAGGGAGAGGGGAGAGGGGAGAGGGGAGAGGGAAGAGGGAAGAGGGGAGAGGGGAGGGGAGAGGGGAGAGGGGAGAGGGAAGAGGGAAGATGGAAGAGGGAAGAGGGGAGAGGGGAGAGGGGAGAGGGGAGAGGGAAGAGGGAAGAGGGGAGAGGGAAGAGGGGAGGAGAGGGAGAGGGGAGAGGGGAGAGGGGAGAGGGGAGAGGAGAGGGAGGGGAGAGGGAGAGGGGAGAGGGGAGGAGGGGAGAGGGGAGAGGGAGAGGGAGAGGGGAGGGGAGAGGGAGAGGGGAGAGGGAGAGGGGAGAGGGGGAGGGGAGAGGGGAGAGGGAGAGGGGAGGGGAGAGGGAGAGGGAGAGGGAGAGGGAAGAGGGAAGAGGGAGAGGGGAGAGGGGAGAGGAAGAGGGAAGATGGAAGAGGGGAGAGGGGAGAGGGGAGAGGGGAGAGGGGAGGGGGAGAGGGAGAGGGAGAGGGGAGAGGGAGAGGGGAGGGGAGAGGGAGAGGGGAGAGGGGAGAGGGGAGAGGGAGAGGAAAGGGAGGGAAGAGGAAGAGGGAGAGGGAAGAGGGAGAGAGGGGAGAGGGGAGAGGGAGAGGGGGAGAGGGGAGAGGGGAGAGGGAGAGGGGAGAGGGGAGAGGGGAGAGGGGAGAGGGGAGAGGGGAGAGGGGAGAGGGGAGAGGGGAGAGGGGAGAGGGGAGAGGGGAGAGGGAGAGGGGAGAGGGGAGAGGGAGAGGGGAAGAGGGGAGAGGGAAGAGGGAAGAGGGAAGAGGGAAGAGGGGAGAGGGGAGAGGGGAGAGGGGAGAGGGGAGAGGGAGAGGGGAGAGGGGAGAGGGGAGAGGGGGAGAGGGGAGAGGGAGAGGGGAGAGGGAGAGGGAGAGGGAAGAGGGAGAGGGGAGGAGGGGAGAGGGGAGAGGGGAGAGGGGAGAGGGGAGAGGGGAGAGGGAGAGGGGAGAGGGGAGAGGGGAGAGGGGAGAGGGGAGAGGGAGAGGGGAGAGGGAGAGGGAGAGAGGGAGAGGGGAGAGGGGAGAGGGAAGAGGGGGAGGAGGGGGAGAGGGGAGGGGAGAGGGGAGAGGGAGAGGGGAGAGGGAAGAGGGGGGAGAGGGGAGAGGGGAGAGGGGAGAGGGGAGAGGGGAGAGGGGAGAGGGGGAGAGGGGAGAGGGGAGAGGGGAGAGGGGAGGGAGAGGGGAGAGGGGAGAGGGAGAGGGGAGAGGGGAGAGGGGAGAGGGGAGAGGGAGAGGGGAGAGGGGAGAGGGAGAGGGGAGAGGGGAGAGGGGAGAGGGGAGAGGGGAGAGGGGAGAGGGAAGGGGAGAGGGGAGAGGAGAGGGGAGAGGGGAGAGGGGAGAGGGGAGAGGGAGAGGGGAGAGGGGAAGAGGGGAAGAGGGAGAGGGGAGAGGGGAGAGGGGAGAGGGGAGAGGGGAGAGGGAAGAGGGAGAGGGGAGGGAGAGGGGAGAGGGAGAGGGGAGAGGGGAGAGGGGGAGAGGGGAAGAGGGAGAGGGAGAGGGAAGAGGGAAGAGGGAGAGGGAGAGGGGAGAGGGGAGAGGGAGAGGGGAGGGGGAGAGGGGGAGAGGGAGAGGGAGAGGGGGAGAGGGGAGGGGGAGAGGGGAGAGGGGAGAGGGGAGAGGGGAGGGGGAGAGGGAGGGGAAGAGGGAGAGGGAGAGGGGAGAGGGAGAGGGGAGAGGGAGAGGGAGAGGGAGAGGGGGAGAGGGGAGAGGGAGAGGGGAGAGGGGAGAGGGGAGAGGGAGAGGGGAGAGGGGAGAGGGGAGAGGGAGAGGGGAGGGGAGAGGGGAGAGGGGAGAGGGGAGAGGGGAGAGGGGGAGAGGGGAGAGGGGAGAGGGGAGAGGGGAGAGGGGAGAGGGAGAGGGGGAGAGGAGAGGAGGGGAGAGGGGAGAGGGGAGAGGGAGAGGGAAGTGGGGAGAGGGAAGAGGGAAGAGGGAGAGGGGAGAGGGGAGAGGGGAGAGGGAAGAGGGAAGAGGGGAGAGGGAGAGGGGAGAGGGGAGAGGGGAGAGGGGAGAGGGGAGAGGGGAGAGGGAGAGGGGAGAGGGGAGAGGGAAGAGGGAAGATGGAAGAGGGGAGAGGGGAGAGGGGAGAGGGGAGAGGGGAGAGGGAGAGGGAAGAGGGAAGAGGGAAGAGGGAAGAGGAAGAGGACGAGGGACGAGGGACGAGGGGAGAGGGAAGAGGGGAGAGGGGAGAGGGGAGAGGGGAGAGGGGAGGGGGAGAGGGGAGAGGGGAGAGGGGAGAGGGGAGAGGGAGAGGGAGAGGGGAGAGAGGGAGAGGGAGAGGGGAGAGGGGGAGGAGAGGGGAGAGGGGAGAGGGGAGAGGGGAGAGGGAGAGGGAGAGGGGAGAGGGGAGAGGGAGAGGGAGAGGGGAGAGGGGAGAGGGGAGAGGGGAGAGGGGAGAGGGGAGAGGGGAGAGGGGAGAGGGGAGAGGGAGAGGGGAGAGGGGAGAGGGGAGAGGGGAGAGGGGAGAGGGGAGAGGGAGAGGGGAGAGGGGAGAGGGGAGAGGGGAGGGGAGAGGAGAGAGGGGAGAGGGGAGAGGGAGAGGAGAGGGAAGTGGGGAGAGGGAAGAGGGAAGAGGGGAGAGGGGAGAGGGGAGAGGGGAGAGGGAAGAGGGAAGAGGGGAGAGGGGAGAGGGGAGAGGGGAGAGGGAGAGGGGAGAGGGGGAGAGGGGAGAGGGGAGAGGGGAGAGGGGAGAGGGAAGAGGGAAGATGGAAGAGGGAAGAGGGAAGAGGGAAGAGGGAAGAGGGAAGAGGGAAGAGGGAAGAGGGAAGAGGGAAGAGGGAAGAGGGAAGAGGGAAGAGGGAAGAGGGAAGAGGGAAGAGGGAAGAGGGAAGAGGGAAGAGGGAAGAGGGAAGAGGGACGAGGGACGAGGGAAGAGGGAAGAGGGACGAGGGACGAGGGAAGAGGGAAGAGGGAAGAGGGAAGAGGGAAGAGGGAAGAGGGAAGAGGGAAGAGGGACGAGGGACGAGGGACGAGGGAAGAGGGAAGAGGGAAGAGGGAAGAGGGAAGAGGGAAGAGGGAAGAGGGAGAGGGAAGAGGGAAGAGGGAAGGGGGAAGGGGGAAGAGGGAAGAGGGAAGAGGGAAGAGGGAAGAGGGAAGAGGGAAGAGGGAAGAGGGAAGAGGGAAGAGGGAAGAGAGAAGAGGGAAGAGGGAAGAGGGAAGAGGGAAGAGGGAAGAGGGAAGAGAGAAGAGGGAAGAGGGAAGAGGGAAGAGGGAAGAGGGAAGAGGGAAGAGGGAAGAGGGAAGAGGGAAGAGGGAAGAGGGAAGATGGAAGACCTGACAGCCTAACAGCCGACACCCGACAGCCCGACAGCCGACAGCCCGACAGCCGACGCCCCACAGCCGACGCCCCACAGCCGACGCCCAACAGCCGACGCCCAATGCCCGACGCCCGACGCCCGACAGCCGACGCCCGACAGCCGACGCCCGACAGCTGACGCCCCACAGCCGACGCCCGACAGCGGATGCCCGACAGCCGACGCCCCACAGCCGACGCCCAACGCCCAACGCCCGACGCCCGACAGCTGATGCCCGACAGCCGACGCCCGACAGCCGACGCCCGACAGCCGACGCCCGACAGCCGACGCCCGGCAGCCGACTCCCGGCAACCGACGCCCGACAGCCGACGCCCGACAGCCGACGCCCGACACCTGACGCCCGACAGTCTTTAGTAGAGCTTACCGTTGGTCGCAATGTAGTCAAACGCTTCCAGAGCCTCCGAGGGCGAGCGGTAGATATTGGGCGATAACAGATGCACCAAGTGGCCGTCCACCCACCTGGAGCAAGGGAGAGAGAGTAGAGAGAGGAGCACAGAGGTAACAATGAGGGCGGATGAATGGTGGGGGGAAACGACGGTGGAAGACGAATGGTGGGGAGTCGATTTTGGGAGATGAACTGTGCCCCCTCCTCCCCCCTCCCACCCCCTGCCCTTTCCCCCCCATTTCCCACTCACCTGCGCCATCTGGTCTCCTCGTCCAGCTCCCCCTCCGCCTGCCCCTCCGCCACGCCCCTCTCCCCCACATGCCCCACACTTGCCGCCATGCCGCCGCTGCTGCTGCCCCCACTGCCACTGCTTCCACTCGTGCTGCTGCTGCTGCTGCTGTTAGTGGTGCTGCCGATGCTGCTGGCATAGGCCCCAGGGGCGGCAGGCGCCGCAGCCGCAGGGGCAGGGGCGGCAGGAGGGATGTTGGTGGCCTTGGAGGGGTTCAGACGCCGGTGCAGCTCGGATATAATCGCTGGGGGTGGGGGAAGGGGCGGGGAGAAAGGGGGAGGGAAGGAGGGGAAGGCAGGAGAGGGGGAAAGGGTGGGGGAAGTTTGGGGAACAGCAGCAGGAGCAGCAAGAGAAGCAGCAGGCGGGATGCTGGTGGCCTTGGAGGGGTTCAGTGCTTGTTGGTGGCCTTGGAGGGGTTCAGTGCTCGGATGTGATGGCTGGCGCAAGTTGGGGGAAAGAAAGGGCCAGTGGGAGGGGGGAGGAGGCGAACCGCAGGGTGGGCTGGATTACACCCAACCGTTACCATAAGCTTTGGACCGGAGTGCTTTCGACCGGAGTGCTTTCAGCCGGAGTGCTTTGGACCGGAGTGCTTTGGACCGGAGTGCTTTGGACCGGAGTGCTTTCGACCGGTGCTCTTTGGACCGGTTCGCTTTCGACCGGTGTGCTTTGCCTTGCGTTTTGCCTTTCGAAAGGAAACCACTCAGGGTGGTGGCAAAGCACTGGGAACCACTTGGGTGGTGGCAAACCATTGGAAAACCACCCAGGTGGTGCAATCACGTGGAAGCCGCTCAGGGTGGTTTCAACTCACTAGGAAACCACTCAAGGTGGTCGCAAACTACTGGGAAACCACCTTAGGTGGTGGCAAACCCCTGGGAAACTACTTAGCGTGGGGGCAAACCACTAGGAAACCACTCAGGATGGTAAAATACCACAAGGAATCTACTCGGGGTGGTGGCAAACCACTCAGAAACCACTCAGGGTGGTGAAAAAACCACTGGGAAGCCACTTCGGACAGTGGCAAACCACTGGGATCCACTCGGGGTGGTGGCAAACCACTCAGAAACAACTCAGGGCGGTGAAAAACCACTGGGAAACCACTTGGGACGGTGGCATTCCAGTGGGAAACCACTTAGGGTGGTGGCAACCGACTGGGAAACCACTTGTCTGAGAGGCTCAGACACTAGCCAAAGAGGCTCTGATACCTACGCGTTTCAATTCAAGCATCTCATACATGAAACACGGGCAACATTGTTGCACCTGAGGAGTCAACGAGCGGCTCCCCGTTGACCATGAGCACAGGCACCTTCTTGTACTCGGACCACTTGGCCTCGCTACAAGCGAAACCCAGAGAGTGCCACATTTCAACCTTCACACGGATGAAGCACCGGCAACGATCTTCACCTGAGGAGTCCACACGCGGCTCCCCGTTGACCCGTTGACCCGTTGACCCGTTGACCACGAGCACAGGCACCTTCTTGCACTCGGACCACTTGACCTCGCTAGATGCTTATTCTCACCACACAGTGTTCCACACATAGAGCAAAGGGGCACCTGATGAGTCGACGAGCGGCTCGCCATTGACCATGAGCACGGGGACCTTCTTGTACTCCGACCACTTGAGCTCCTTCTTGCCCACCGGGTTCACCTCCACCACGCGGTAGGGGAGGTCGTAGTAGTCCAGGAAGGCTGGGGGGAGGGGGAGGGGTGAGTGAGTGAATTTGAGTCCACTCAAAAGCGGACCGGGTTCGCCTCCACCACGCGGTAGGGGAGGTCGTAGTAGTCCAGGAAGGCTGGGGGAGATTATCGGGATGGAGGTGGGGGAAGAGGGGGGAGGAGACGCGGCGGGGGGGAGGGGGAAAGAGGCAAGCTGAAAACGCTCCTTCTTGCCCACGGGGTTCTCGGGAGGGGATGACGTGGCAGTGGAGGAAGGCAGGGGGAGAGGACGGGCCGGAAGGGGCCTGGGAGGCGCTGAGTTGAGACAAGTGAGTGGAAGTGTCAGCCTGTAGTCTCGGATCGTGTCAGTTACCCACATTACCCGGGATTCGTCAAAGGGAATATCGGCACGCTCAGTGGTGCATTGGCCTCGTAGTAGAGCACCACCTCCGCTTCTGAGTCGACTCAAATGGTTCTGTGGCGCACCTTTGACCTTATTGCAGAAGGGGCACGCTTCGTATTGGTAGAGCACCACCTCCGCGTCGCGACCCAGAGGCACCTCGGGCCGCTCCTTCGCCACTGCAGTTGCCGTCCCGGAAAACGCGGCGACCAATGAGAACGACGCGCCGGCAGCCAGCAGCCAGCCGCGGCTGGACCCTGACGGCGACAATGGCGACGAAAGCGACGAGAGCGACGATGGCGACGACGCGAGCGACGGTGACGTTAGCGACGATGACGGGGATGACGTCACCAGAGACGAAATGGCGATCGCGGATCTGGGAGCGATAGAAAGTGCGTGTCCGGCAAGTGTACCAGCGAATGCAGTGTTGGTAGTAACGGATCTGGTGTTAACGGATCCTGTACTAATGGGTTCGATACTGACGAATCTGGTCCTGACGGTTTCAAGTGGCGGAGTGACAGGGGAATATGGAGCGCGGGTGGAAGGCGGATCGCGAGGTACATGTGGGGGAGGTAGATCTGCAGAGGTGGAGGCTGCTGGCGAAACGGCGTGGGCGGATGCGAGATGCGAAGCGCTCGGATGGACGGTCGAGAATCGCTGGACTTGATCGGACGGTCTAGCGGAAGCTAGAAGCAGTCTGAGTCTTCCCAAACTGGACACGGAACCTCTTGCCATGGCTACAGACAGTGGTTCGGACACGCGACCTTGCTCTCGTGAGCTACGATGCGAGGCGCACGGCAGCTAACGCTCACGTCAGGCGATAGTGGAATGAGGCAGAAATGACGTGGTCGGCGAGAATCCACCTTCCAGCGGCGACTGCTAGGAGAGGTAAGGTGGCTCGAGAAGCGAAGACCTTGCAATAATGCTGGAGGGCTTAGAATTGGGTTGGGTGTGTTTCGGTACGTTTTGGTGTGGTTTGGTTGGAGAAGCCGCCTCAACCTACAAAGAAAATTCGCGCTGTTGAAAAACCGGCCGTGCTATAGTGAGTGCGAAGTTAGTTGGGAACGGCTCTACTGAAGATGTTTTCTCTTTTGCATATTAGCGACTTGGAATAAACATTCCCAGAGCGCATTTCCTTGTATGACAACATGTGAATAATGACGAAAGTGTAGTTTAGTGTCTAACGGACGAAACGACTCGCATGCTGTTGGCGCGCATTTTTATGAGGTCCCCTGAGCAAATCTGCAAGCGGCTGCTGAAGGTAGAAAGATTTTACGAGGAGGTATCCGAACCAGCCAAATCTCATCCAATAGCAACACGTATCCTTCTGGTTACAGAAAGACGCGATGCGGTTTGCCGGAAAACCTTCAGCTGGTTCAGTGCGGCGCGCAGAAACTTTCGGGTGTTACAGCCGGACGCGATGCGCTCAGCGGCAGGGAGTTGGGACAAATCGCGAAAATGGGTACGCCCGAGCAGCGAAATGGACGGTGTGTTTTTCTCTGTGGCAGAGCAAGGGTTTGGTGCCACAGAGAGCAGCAGCAGCAGCGGACCAGAAATGGCCTCTCGCTGTGCCGCTCAGCCCGCCGCGAGCTAAACGCCCAAATGAAACTCTTGCCCACCTAGCGGATCGTCCTGCGGCGATCAGGGCATCACTGCTCGCGACACGGCCACCTCTGTTATTCACGCCTCAACCACTCAACCACGCAGTTCCTTCCATTTCCAGCCAATCAACTCCCAGAAATTCGATTTTCTTAGCCTATGCGGCAGCCAACGGACTCAAATTTCCCAAAAAAATTAGCGCCAAGAAGCAGACATGCAATCGCCTCGAGTCGAGGGTCCTCCCATCCGGTTGCCCCACGGAATCCCAACCAAACCTCGTTCTTCCGCCATTTAGCTACATTTCTAGGCCAATCTTTCTGCTCTCCGGCTCATTTCGCCTAGTTCTTCTTCGTCCTTTCGACCAGTGCTAGCGAAGCTCTGGCCGTTTTTTCTCCTTAACCGGGCACCGCGTTCTCAAGTATTCGCATGATGAGCGTCGAAACGTGGACGTGCGATCTGGCGCAACGATCGCCATGGCGTCACTGTTGCCGTGACGCCAGCAACATGCTTGCGGCAAAGCTAGCCGTGCTTTTCTTCGGCGAGACATGTCAAGACCGTTGGTGAATTTCCGGTGGTCGGGACGCTCAAGGTACGCGGTTTCTTTGTTTTTCTTACTTTCTTTCTTTCGTTCGTTCTTTCTTTCTTTCTGCGCTAATTTGATTCGTGAGATAGCTTTCTAACATTGTACTTTCGATTTCCGTCTTTGTTTCTGGCAGGATTAAAGTCGCAACACCTGGGTTGCGCTGGCGCCGATCGCCGACGGAACGCGTCCCAACGATCGCCACAAGACAATCTTCTTCACCGGGACTGGCGTCACACATGCTCTCGAGCCTGCCTCTCTCTCAAATCGCCACGCCTGCGCGGCGAGGTCTTACTCGGCGCTGTTACAATCGGCGATGCCTTCATGCGAGCTCGTTTCAGAAGCTCCCCATGCTCGCCACGCGACGCTCACGGTGAGAGCCGCTAAGTCGTTCTTCGTGTTTTTTTTCTTCTTTTTTTTCCTTCAATCATCCGAGTCTGACGTAAATATCTCGTTTCTTGCAGATTTCAAGTCCGCACGGTCTGCTCTGCACCTCCCCAGCGCACTCGCCTGTCGCCGCCACCAGCGGCACGCATCTGGGCGTCAACTCGCGCATTTCGGCGCGAGCGAGTGCGGAGTGCCGGCGATCACATGCTCGTTTTAAGCTGGACACCAATCCCCAGCTGCGTAACCCAACCGCCTATTCGATCGACTCAAACACGCTAAGGTCAGTCGGTTAATGAGTGAAATTGGGGGGGTTGAGTAGCGCGCATACAGCGAGTCATGCTGGGTCTGCTTCCGCGTCCTTGCCAACTTCATCCATGCACCAACGCCTTTCGTTCCCCGACCCCTTGTTCCCCGCGCTGCCCTCCCCCATCTCTCCTCGTCTGCGAGGCACTGGAAGCGCGTGCCGAGCGTCGCGGCTGCAAGGAGCACGAGTCGGCTCGCGGCGAGCATGACAGCGGTTGACGCGCGCGTGCAGCCGCGCCAGCACGGAGGGTCGCCGCGCACGGAGGGAGGGTCATTGCCGTTGCGGCATCAGCAGCTGCCAGGAGGTGTCGAGTAAGTCACGCGAGCAAGGCCCTTGGGGGGGTCGACTACGAGTCTACCATAGCGCGCCTAGAGAGTCACTCCGTTGCTTTCATTCCGCGTCCTGTCACACCTCTGCATGTTCTAACGACCCCCCCCCCTCCCCTCCCCCCCCCTCGCCCCCTTCCCGCTCCCCCCTCCCCCCGGGTCCCCGTCTTCCCTACGCTCCCCACCCCCCCACTCCCTCCTCCATGTTTCCGCGCGCAAGGCACTGCGAGCGGGTCCGGAGCAGCCGAGTTGCGAGGAGGGGAGCCATCGCGCCTGCTCCAGCTGCCGCACTCGCCCGCTGCCCCCGTCCCCCCCCCCCCCGCTGCCACACCGCCTGCTCTGCGCCTCCGACCAGCGCGTGCGGCTCTGCTCGTTCGACCAGGGCGTGGTAAACCAGCGCGCGGCTGGCTGGGCTGCCACGGGCAGCGACTGCAAGGTATGCGCGCCCATCCAGGGAGGAGGAGGGGCGAGTAGGCGTCTCAGCGCAGCGCGCCTAGAGAGTCACGCCGCTTCCTGTGCTTGCGTCCTGACCTCATCCGAGCTTGGACTAACGCACCCGCCCCCACCCCCTCCCCCCTCCCCTCCCCTTCCCCCTCCCCCCCGCCCGCGTTCCACCCAACCCCACCCACCGAGGCCATGTGTTGCCGTGCAAGGCGGGCGGGGCGCTTGACTGGCGTGGCGACTGGCGGAGGGGGAGGGCAGCAGCGCATCCCAGCACGCGGGGAGGGGAGAGGCGCTGGCGCTGGCTGCCTCTGGGAAGGGGCCTGGCGCTGGAGGCCTCTGTGAAGGGGCTTGGTTCGCTCTGCCGCGCCCTCGAGCTGCCAAGCTGATGAGTATCCCGCCCACCCTTCCCCCGCTCACGCACCCCTGCACGCTCGTCCGCACCGCACATGGTCGCAGCTTTCTCTCACTGCCGTTGCTGCCACGTGGCTCACCCAAGGACCCTCCCCACCCTCAGGTGGCTCCAGGTGACTTGCAGGGAACCCCCCAGGTGGTAACGGTCAAGCCTAAGGTAAGGTACAGTCGGTATGGTCCCTTGGGTGAGCTGGTGCTGCTGAAGCGACTCTCATGCAAACAATACGCCGCACGCTCTTGCTGCTGCTCTTTTCGCCAGCCTCTGCCCCACACTGCCACTTACTCCCTCCTACCCCCCCCCCCCCCCCCCCCCCAACCACCACCCCTCCCTGTCAGTTCGCATCGCAAGCGCGCAGCAGAGTGGAGGCGTGCGGAGGGGGCAGAAGGGGAGGGGTGGCTCAGCGGCGGCCGCAGGAGAAGGAGCAGCGCACCCCAGGCCCAGCCGTGAGGCAGCAAGGCAGCAAGGGAAGGTTGAGTATCGCACTGCACTCACCTGCACCTGGCTCACCCGAGGACCTTCCCCCCCAGGTAACCCCAGGTGGTAACAGCCAAGCCCAAGGTAAGGTGCAGCTGGTACGGTCCTCTCGGCACATGCACCCCTCACCCACTCACCCTCAACTTTCTGCAGCAGTCCCTTGTCTTGTGCTGCCACTCACTTATTGCCTCCCTCGTTGCCCCCCCCCCCCCCCCCCCCCCCCCCCCCCTCCCCCCCCCCTCCCTTCCCCCGCCCCCCCTTCTCCAGGTACTCCACTGGTCCGCAGCAGAGGGCGAGTGTGCTGAAGGAGGTGAAGTTCAAGAAAGCAGCAGCAGCAGCAGCAGCAGCAGACCAAGGCCTGCACACTCAAGTATCAGGGCACCCGAAAGATAAGTCTCCCCACCCTCACTTGCCATTGCCTCGCCAGCCGTATTCCGCACCCATCTGCTCTTCACTGCCGCTCCTCCTCCTCGTCACTGCCAGTGCTGCCACGTGGCTCAACCAGGGGACCCTCCCCCCAGGTAAAACATAAGGTACTATTAAACCCCAGGTGGTGAGGTAGGGTAAGGTTCAGCTTGGTACAGTCCTCTGGGTGAGCTGCTGGCTGCTGCATCACATGCCCCCCCCCCCCCCCCCCCCCCCTTGCATCCGCTTTCTGCAACGGTCCCTTGTTTTGTGCCGCCACTTATTCCCTCCCTCGCTGCCCCTTCCCCTCCCCCGTCCGCCCCCCTTCCGCCCCCCCACCGCCCCCCGGCCTTCTCTGTCAGGCACTCCACTTGGTGGGTGTACAGCAGAGGGCGAGCGATGAGGGGCGGCAGAGTGGCAGCAGCGCGCCCAAGGCCCAGCCGCGAGGCAGCAAGGCGGCAAGTGAAGGTTGAGTATCGCACTGCACTCACCTGCACCTGGCTCACCCGAGGACCTTCCCCCCCAGGTAACCCCAGGTGGTAACAGCCAAGCCTAAGGTAAGGTTCAGCCGGTATGGCCCTATGGGTGAGCCCCTGTACCCACCCACTCTGCTCGTGAACTTTCTGCATCAGTCCCTTGTCTGGTGCATCCACTTATCGCCTCCCTCGCTGCCCCTTCCTCCCCCCGCCCCACTCTCCCAGGCCATCCCCTTGGCGAGTGCGCAGCTGAGGGCGAGAGATGAGGGGCGGCAGAGTGGCAGTGTCGGCAGAGTGGCAGTGGCGGCAGAGTGGCAGTGGCGGCAGAGTGGCAGAGGTGGCAGCGAGCAGCACAGCCAAGCTGCCTGCAGTGGGGGGGGGAGGAGGAGCGAGGCAGCAGGGCAGGGCGAGCAACAGGGTGCAGCAGAGGGAGAGTATGGATTGGGTTTCAGCCACACATGGTGAGCTCTGACTCTCATTCTGCTGCATTCCTTCCTGCTCCCTTCCCTTGTAGCGCGGCTCTCTTTCCCTTGGTTCTATTTTAGCACGTCCCTCTGATTGCTGCACTGACCTCCACTCCACTCACTCTTCCCTCCCCCCCTCCCTCTTCCCGCTTCCCTTTCCCGCGTCCGTGCAGGTGCTTGCATGAGGGTGGGAGGAGCAAAGGCAGCAGAGCAAGCGACTGGGGTGTGCAGAGGGAAAGTATGGCATGCGGTTTCTGGGTTCTGGCCAAGCATGGTGAGCCTCGCCTTTCACTCTCCTGCTTTCTCGTCCCTTCCCTTGTAGCTGGCAAGCCTTGCCACATCCCTGTGCTTCCTCGTGTACTCGACCTTCCCCCGCTTGCACATTTCCGTCTGAGTCATTCCGTATTTCTCTTCTCTCATTGCCCTTATCCTCCCTCCTCCTCCCTCATCCCCCCTCCTCCCCCCTCCTACAGCAGCAGGGGGGGCAGTAGCGACAGCAGCAGCAGCATGCAGCAGCCGTGGGGGGAGGGGGGGAGGTAAGGATGAAAGGAAGGGCGGAGGAAAGGAAGAAAAGGGGGAAGGAGGAGAGTATGCCTGGTTGGAGACGAGAAGGCGAACCAAGTCACTGCATTTATGTCAGCTCAGTATCCTCTCCCCCCTGCACCCACCCACCCACGCCTGCTCGCCACACCATGCCATGCCTTGTTTGCTCCCCTCATGCTTTCTCGCCTTCAAACCACACCACTTGTGCAACCAAGCTCTTAACCCACAGACCAGCAACAGCTGGTAAATCCCCAGGTTAAGACCCAGGTTAAGCCACACCCCCCCTATCAGGTACCCCCTCTTTGCAGGTAAAAACTTACGCCCCCCCACACCCGCTGGTCTGTGGATTGGCGCTGCAGTTGCACATTTGATGTCCCCCCCCTCGTTGTCTTTTCCGTCATGCACGCGCTTCTCACTCTTGCCAATCCACTCTTCAGATATCCCTTGCTTTCCTCCCTGGCCCACTAACTTCCCTATCCTCCTCCCGCCTCCCCCTCCCCCCCTCACAGGTCACCTGGATTCGAAGCAGCAGCAGCAGCAGCAGAAGCAGAAGCAGAAGCAGCTGAAGCAGCTGCAGCTGAAGCGGCTGAAGCAGCAGTAGGGGGGGCTAGGTAGCTAGAGGGCAGGCTAGTGTGAGAGAGGTACCAGGTGAGGTGAAGTATGGGATGGCATGGCATGGCATGGTGTGGCATGTGCTTGGTCATGCTTCACACCTCTCTCTTCGTCTCCTCCCCCCACCAGGTGTGCTCCTGCGATCATGGCCATGGCTTCTCACTGCGCAAGGAAAGGAAACGAGGTGCCCCCCCCTCACCACCCCCTCTCCCTCCATCCGCTCCCCTCACCAGGTGAGTGAGCGCTCCATCCATGGGCAAGGCAAAGGCATGGCCGCTGCTCTGCTCGCAGCTGCAGAGGAGGAGGTCCCCCACTCACCACCCCCTCTCCCTCCATCTCCTCCCCCCACCAGCTGTGCGCTCCATGCATGGGCAAGGCAGGAGAGTAGGAGTCCCACCCCCTCACCACCCCCTCCCCCTCTCCTCTCCTCACAGCACCAGCTGTGCTCCTCCAGGCCAGAGGCGTGGATGCTCACAGCAGGACGAGAGCACCCCCCAACTCACACCCCCCCCCACCCCCACCCCCCCGACCCCCCTTGACTCCTCTGCTGCGTCAACCCTCGTGGCGTGGTGCTCTGCATGTCTGGTAAGTGAGGTAAGGAGGAGCATGGGAGCATGTGTGCAGTTCACTCCCTTAGCGGCAGCACCCACTGTGGTTCTGGCTTGTGGCTCGGGTGTGGTCAGTGGAAAGTGTGTGGCACGGCAGTCGGTGCTCAAGTTCCCAAACTGGCGTATCGTATAATGGAACCGGCCAGAGCCGTGCGCGCCGGCTCTGGTTGGGAGTCCCCTCCTACGACGCTTTCGTAAGCGGAATTTGAGTCTTGGGCCGCCCGTGCACTTTCCACTGCCCCTCCTCGCACCACAAGGCAGAGCCATGGGGGGTGCTGTTTCCGAAAGGGAGTGAGTTGCATGCTGCTCCTAGTGGGGGAAGGGGGGCTTGGGAGGTTTAGTGGGATGGTGTTGGTGGTACATGGGAGTCGGCAACCCCCTGGGTAAGTTGGACGATGGGCAATGGAGGCATCTGCAACCACCACTGTAAGTTGAGCGAGAGGGCGAGAGGGGAAGGGGGGCTGAAACCCCCCAGGGTAAGTTGAGTTGGGGAGGGGAGAAGAGGGGGTCTGAAACCACCCTGGGTGAGTTGGGTGATTGGCAATGGAGGCGACTGCAACCACCACTGTAAGTTGAGCGAGATGGCGAGAGGGGAAGGGGGGCTGAAACCCCCCAGGGTAACTTGAGTTGGGGAGGGGAGAAGAGGGGGTCTGAAACCACCCTGGGTGAGTTGGGTGATTGGCAATGGAGGCGACTGCAACCACCACTGTAAGTTGAGCGAGATGGCGAGAGGGGAAGGGGGGCTGAAACCCCCTAGGGTAACTTGAGTTGGGGAGGGGAGAAGAGGGGGTCTGAAACCACCCTGGGTGAGTTGGGTGATTGGCAATGGAGGCGACTGCAACCACCACTGTAAGTTGAGCAAGATGGCGAGAGGGGAAGGGGGGCTGAAACCCCCCAGGGTAACTTGAGTTGGGGAGGGGAGAAGAGGGGGTCTGAAACCACCCTGGGTGAGTTGGGTGATTGGCAATGGAGGCAACTGCAACCACCACTGTAAGTTGAGCGAGATGGCGAGAGGGGAAGGGGGGCTGAAACCCCCCAGGGTAACTTGAGTTGGGGAGGGGAGAAGAGGGGGTCTGAAACCACCCTGGGTGAGTTGGGTGATTGGCAATGGAGGCGACTGCAACCACCACTGTAAGTTGAGCGAGATGGCGAGAGGGGAAGGGGGACTGAAACCCCCCAGGGTAACTTGAGTTGGGGAGGGGAGAAGAGGGGGTCTGAAACCACCCTGGGTGAGTTGGGTGATTGGCAATGGAGGCAACTGCAACCACCACTGTAAGTTGAGCAAGATGGCGAGAGGGGAAGGGGGGCTGAAACCCCCCAGGGTAACTTGAGTTGGGGAGGGGAGAAGAGGGGGTCTGAAACCACCCTGGGTGAGTTGGGTGATTGGCAATGGAGGCGACTGCAACCACCACTGTAAGTTGAGCGAGATGGCGAGAGGGGAAGGGGGGCTGAAACCCCCCAGGGTAACTTGAGTTGGGGAGGGGAGAAGAGGGGGTCTGAAACCACCCTGGGTGAGTTGGGTGATTGGCAATGGAGGCGACTGCAACCACCACTGTAAGTTGAGCGAGATGGCGAGAGGGGAAGGGGGGCTGAAACCCCCCAGGGAAAGTTGAGTGAGGGAGGGGAGAAGAGGGGGTCTGAAACCACCCTGGGTAAGTTGGGTGATGGGCAATGGAGGCGTGTGCAACCACCGCTGTAAGTTGAGCGAGAGGGAGAGAGGGGAAGGGGGCCTAAAACTCCCGGGTTAAGTAGGTGAGAGGGAGGGGAGATAGGTGGGATGAAACCCCCCCGGGTAGTCTGACTGAGGGTGGGGAGGAGGGGGTCTGAACCCACCCTGGGTAAGTTGGGTGATTGGCAATGGAGGCGACTCCAACCACCTCTGTGAGTTGAGCGAGAGGGAGAGAGGGGAAGGGGGGCTGAAACTCCAGGGTAAGTTGAGTGAGGGAGGGGAGAAGGGGGTCTGAAACCCCCAGGGTAGTGCGAATCCCAGTGTAAGGCTGGCGAGGGATTGGTTGTGAAATTTCCACTGCCACTCCTTGCACCACAAGGCAGAGCCTTGGGGGGTGCTGTTTTCGAAAGGGAGTGGGTTGCATGCTGCTCCTAGTGCTGGGAGGAAAGGGGGGCTTGGGAGGTTGACTGGGATGGTGGTGGTGGTACAAGGGGGTCGGCAGCCACCACTGTAAGTTGAGCAAGAGGGAGAGAGGGGAAGGGGGGCTGAACCCCCCAGGGAAACTGGGTGAGAGGGACGGGAGAAGGGGGGGATGAAACCCCCCTGCCCCAGGGTAGTTTGGGTGAGGGAGGGGAGAAGGGGGTCTGAACCCACCCTGGGTACGTTTGTTGATGGGCAAAGGAGACGAATGCAACCACCACTGTAAGTTGAGCGAGAGGGAGAGAGGGGAAGGGGGGCTGAAACCCCCCTGGGTGAGTTGGGAGAGGGAGGGGAGAAGGGGGTCTGAAACCCCCCAGGTTAGTGTGAGGGAGGGTGGCAAAAGGATGGGTGGTGAAATTCCCATGGTTGGGTGAGAGCAAGGCAGGGGAGGGGGTTTGCAACTCCCAGTGTAAGGCTGGCGAGGGGCAGGGGGGGAGAGGGGGGTTGAAACCCTAGGGGTGGGCGAGCAGGGGGCAGAGGAACCCCCCTCTTCTGCCTTCGGTTCGCCTAAACCCAGGGGTTCCATCCCCCCTCTCTTGCCCCTCAATCGCCTTACCTTGGGAGATTCAACCGCCCTCCCCTGTCTTTCTCTCATGTTGCCTTGGAGCTTCACCCCCTTACTGAGAGAGAGCACAGTATGGGGGGCTGCAACCCCCAGAGTAAGATGAGGGAGCGGCGATGCAACTGTCGCCTGAGTAAGTTGAGTGAGTGGCAGGGAGAGAGGGGAATGGGGGCCTGAAACCCCCAGGGTGAGCTGATTGAAGCTGGTTGAGGGGCACTGGAGGGCGGCGGCATCTACTACAACCAGAGTAAGTTGGTTGAGAGGGAGAGGAGAAAGCGGGCCTGAACCCCCCTGAGTAAGTTGAGTGAGAGGGAGAGGAGAAAGGGGGACTGAACCCCCCTGGGTAAGTTCAGTGAGGGGCAACGGAGGGGGGCTGAACCCCCTCCCCCACGGGGTAGGTGGAGTGAGAGGGATTGGAGGAAGGGGGGCTGAAACCCCCAGAGTAAGTTGAGTAAGTGGCGGAAGAGGGGCGGTGAAAACCCCATGGTTGAGAGCAAGGCAGTGAGCGGGATTGAACCCGCATTGGTAAGGCTTGCAAGGGGCAGGGGGGGAGAGGGGTTTCCAGACCGCAAGTTACATTGTGAGGCATGGAAGGGGGTTTCAGACCCCGAGTTACGAGGTGAGGCATGGGAGGGGGTTTCATACCCCGAGTTACAAGGTGAGGCAAGGGAGGGGGTTTCGGACCCCAAGGTACAAGGCGAGGCAAGGGAGGGGGTTTCAGACCCCAAGTTACGTGAGGCCAGGGGGGGGTTTTCAGACCCCAAGTTACAAGGTGAGGCAAGGGAGGGGGTTTCAGACCCCAAGTTAAAAGGTGAGGCAAGAGAGGGGGTTTCATACCCCACGTTACAAGGTGAGGCAAGGGAGGGGGTTTCGGACCCCAAGGTAGAAGGTGAGGCAAGGGAGGGGGTTTCGGACCCCAAGGTACAAGGTGAGGCAGGGGAGGGGGTCTCAGACCCCAAGTTACAAGGTGAGGCAAGGGAGGGGGTTTCAGACCCCAAGTCACAAGGTGAGGCAAGGGAGCAGGTTTCAGATCCCGAGTTATAAGGTGAGGCAAAGGAGGGGTTTTCAGAAACCCAAGCTACAAGGCGAGGCAAGTGAGGGGGTGTCATACCCCAAGTTACAGCGTGAGGCAAGGGAGGGGGTCTCAGACCCCAAGTAACAAGGTGAGGAAAGGGAGGGGGGTTTCAGACCCCAAGTTACAAGGTGAGGCAAGGGAGGGGGTTTCAGACCCCAAGGTACAAGGCGAGGCAAGGGAGGGGGTTTCAGATCCCAAGGTACAAGGCGAGGCAAGGGAGGGGGTTTCAGATCCCAAGCCACAAGGTGAGGCAAGGGAGGGGGGTTTCAGACCTCCAGTCACAAGGTGAGGCAAGGGGGAGGGGGTTTCAGACCCCTAGATACAAGGTGAGGCAAGGGAGGGGGTTTCAGACCCCAAGTTACAAGGTGAGGCAAGGGAGGGGGTTTCAGACCCCAAGTTCCAAGGTGAGGCAAGGGAGGGGGTTTCAGACCCCAAGTTACAAGGTGAGAGACATGTTAGGATGTTTCGGACCCTAAATTACATTATGAGGCAAGAGAGGGGAGTCTCAGACTCCAAGTGCAAGTTACACCACAACTACAAGTTTAGTGGGAAGGGTGGGCTTCGGAATTCATCTCACACCTCGACTGGTTGAGTGGGAAGGGTGGGCTTCAGACTTCAACTCACACCCCGACTGTAAGTTGAGTGGGAAGGGTGGGCTTTAGAATTCATCTCACACCCCGACTGTAAGTTGAGTGTTAAGGGTGGGCTTCAGACTTCAACTCACACACCGACTGTAAGTTGAGTGGGAAGCTGGGGTCTCAACCTCCCTCTCTCGCCTATCAATCGGCCTGATTTTCAACCCGTGTCCCTTGTCCTGCCCTCACAATATATTGGGGGTATCAACCCCCCTTCGCTGCCACTCCCTCACCACCACCCTCTCCTCTTGCTGGTGCTGGTGGTGGTGATGATGGGAGTTGATGGTCATGGTAAGGATGGGCCATGTCCCGTGTACCGTAATCCCCCGTATATAACACCCGTCGAAATAGTCATTCCGTGGGTGGTTTATGCAGGGGAGAGCTTATGATAGTGTGCATTTTTTAGAGCACCCGCTTTTCGAGGGCTGCATTTTACATAACACCCTGCTCGTTTTATGTCGTTTTTTGTCGTTTTTCAAGGTTTTACAGTATTCCGTCGTTTTTCAAGCTCCTCTCGATTGAAAAAAAAAAGCAAGATGAAAAATGCAATGTCAACTACCGTATTCCCCCGTATATAACACCCTAGAATATTGCCAAAATTTCATTAAAAAAAAAGCATGGGTGTTAAGAGTAGGCTGGAAAAATATAACGTCCATGTCTTATGTAAAATGCAAAATGAATTTGGGTTGTAACGGGCTCTATCAGAAGCATGAAACACAATGTAGCTTTTAGTGAGGTTTGAATGACAGCCACTCACCTCCACTAGGACCAGCTTGTCACTTATGTGTTGGCATTCTGTATTTGTGGCCAATCGGAGTCAGCCGCACCTGCAAACACGCTAGGGAAGCTGCCTCATGCTGCTGACACATATTTATCGACGGCCAGGGGGCCATTATAGTGCCAGCCTGACATCGACGTGCCAAAGTGCTTGACCAGATTCCTTAGGGAATCTGGTACATGGGACCAGCATGCATTGTCCCATCCAGAGCTAATTTTATCAGACTATTTTAGTCTGATTGTCTGAAATTTCAGACCTATTTTTTTGCCGATCCTGATTTTTCAGACTTCTCATTTTCTGAATGCTGAACCCTTCAGACTTATATGTTTTTGAATCCTGAGAATCTCAGACTTCGCAGTTTGCGGATACTGAGTTTTCAGAGCGCAGCGCGTACGGACCCCGAGACACACATACTAGTACTGCACCTCCCTGCCCTCACCCAAAAATTTCGTCGAAGTCCCCAAGGGCCAGAGTCAAGTCCTTTCACACACACCCCGCCCCGCAACCTAAAAAATCCGGCTAAGTCCTAGCAGCCTGAGATAGTTCCCTCCAACACATTTCTTCCCTACTCGCCTCGCAGCCCCAGAAATTCGACCAAGTCCCCACAGACAGACACACCCCTCCCACACCTCTTGCAACCCTGAAATTTCGGCTAAGTCCCCACAGCAATAAATATCCCTCCCTCAGCTCCCGCAACCCGGAAAAATCGTCGAAGTCCCTTGCAGCCATAAAAAAAATCCTTTCACAAACCCCCGCAACCCGCAATCCTGCTTATTACCCGACTTTTGTGAAGTTCCTAAAAGGGGTAACAAGAAAATCATTCATCTGGCTGGCGATTTTTTTTTTTTTTTTGGTTTTCTGATTTCTCAGACGATGTGAAACTAACTCTAAAAAATCACACTGTCCACGACTCAATTGAGGGAGTGTTGTTTTCCAACACGACACTTTCAGGCAACTTCGTGTTGCTGATTTTGCAGTCAAATTTGCCAGTCAATCACAATTTTGATACAAAGTGTCGTGACAGTGTATCGTGTACGAACAGGCCCTGAGGGGGAGAATTCGAAAAGGAGGGGAGGGGGAATCGAGTTCGAGGGGGAAAGGGGGAGGGAATCAAAACCGAGGGAAGGGGTGAAGTGAAATGGAGGGGAGGGGGGGGGGGGGAAGGGTGTCAAACATGTTTATCTACTATGTTTGTATAGACTGTATAGGGTCATTTCTTAGAGAGTACAACCCTTAGATATATGTCCTTGTACAATTCTTTCTAGTAAATTATTCAGTTTTCCTTTGAGATGGTATCACCTGTAGGTTGGTTCCCCTCCACCTACCGCTTCCGCCCGTGCCTCCTAGGCCCCGTCACCCCCTCCGTTCCTCCTAGGCCCCGTCGCGCCCCCCTGGGCCCCATCGCGCTGCCTAGGCCCTGTCGCGCCCCCCCTGGGCCCCATTGCGCTGCCTAGGCCCCTTCGCGCCCCCCTGGGCCCCACCGCGCTGCCTAGGCCCCGTCGCGCCCCCCTGGGCCCCATCGCGCTGCCTAGGCCCCGTCGCGCCCCTCCTGGGCCCCTTCGTGCCCCGTAGGCCCCGTCGCGCCCCCCTGGGCCCCATCGTGCCTCCTAGGCCTCGTCGCGTCCCCCTGGGCTCCATCGCGCCTCCTAGGCCCCGTCGCGCCCCCCTGGGCCCCATCGCGCTGCCTAGGCCCCGTCGCGCCCCTCCTGGGCCCCCCTTCGTGCCCCGTAGGTCCCGTCGCGCCCCCCTGGGCCCCATCGTGCCTCCTAGACCCCGTCGCGTCCCACTGGGCCCCATCGCGCTGCCTGGGCCCCGTCGCGCCCCTCCTGGGCTCCTGTAGCGCTTCCTCGGCCGTCGCGCCCCCCCCTGGGCCCCTGCAGCGCCTTCTAGCCCGTCACGCCCCTCCTGGGCCCCTCGTGCCTCCTCGACCCCGTCGCACCTGCCTGGCCCCGCTGTGCCTGCCTGGCCCCGTCGAGCCTGCCGGGCCCTCGCCGCGGTGCCTGGCCCCGCCGCGCTACCTGGCACTGCCGTGCCTGCCTGGCCCCGTCGCGCCTGCCTGGCCCCGTCGCGCCTGCCTGGCCCCGCCGCGTCTCCTGGCCCCGCCGTGCTGCCTGGCCCCGTCGCGCCTGCCTGGCCCTGCCGCGTCTGCCTAGCACTGCCGCGCCTGCTTGGCCCCGTCGCGCCTGCCTGGCCCCGTCGCGCCTGCCTGGCCCCGCCGTGTCTCCTGGCCCCGCCGCGCTGCCTGGCCCCGTCGCGCCTGCCTGGCCCCGTCTCGTCTCCTGGCCCCGCCGCGCTGCCTGGCCCCGACGAGCCTGCCTGGCCCTGCCGCGTCTGCCTGGCACTGCCGCGCCTGCCTGGCCCCGTCGCGCCTGCCTGGCCCCGTCGCGCCTGCCTGGCCCCGTCTCGTCTCCTGGCCACGCCGCACTGCCGGGCCCCGTCGCGCCTGCCTGGCCCTGCTGCGCCTCCTGGCCCTGCCGCCCCTGCCTGGCCCCGCCGCGCCTGCCCGGCCCTGCCGCACCTCCTGGCTCTGCCGCACCTCCCGTGCCTCACCCGCCGTGCCTGACCGGCCGGCGCCTCTTTGTACTTGCTCGCACGTGCTGGGGCGCCGTTTTGCGGCCGCCGTGTCGGAGGGTGCTGCCGTCCTGTTCCTGCGGAGCTGTGTCGCTGACCCTGCACGATGGCTGACTTCGTGCTCCGACTGGACGCCGAGGGCCACGCGGTTGACTTCGCCGCCTGGCTCTCTGACCTCCACCGCGACCTTACAGGTCAGCGTCAGGATGGCCACTCTTTGGTTGTCCATGTCGATGGTTTGCTCCCCCGCCCCCCTGCGCCCGTTCCCCTCCCTGCTGACCCCTCCTCTGATGCCCGTGAGACCTTCTCTACTGCTGCACTTGCCTGTGCTGTCTGGGACTCCCTCGATGCGGTAGATCAGGTTGCTATTAGCCACGCCCTCCCTGTGTCTGAACGCTCGCGTTTTGCTACCATTGCGACGGCCAAAGCCTACTTAGACGCAGTCATTGCCCGCTATTCCACACCCGCGTCTGCCTCTGCTGGCCGCTTGCTTTTCCCGATGCTCTTCCCAGACCTTGCAGCCTTCCCTACCGTCGCAGACTTTGCCGCTCACCTGCGTGCCCTAGAGACCCGCTATCGCACTGCCAGCACTGCTGCACAGCTCACTGCGCTCCCCCCTCCTTTCTGCATGATGCTCTATTTCATCGCCATGCGCCTGCCGGACCGCCTCGCTAGTGCCCGCGATCACTTCCTTAGCCAGCACCCGGCTGACCTCACCCTCACTGCCTTTGTCGACACCCTCACCGAGATCGAGACTCGCCAGCGCACTATCGCTCAGTCGAGTGGTGCGCCGGCAGTCTCTATCTTTCACGGCTGTGCCCCCTCCCAGTGCACGTTCACTGACGTTTCGGCTGCGGTCGCCACGGTGCCCCCTCCCACCGAGACGGCTGCTGCGGTCCACCCGCAGCAGCGCTCGCGCCGCAGTGGCCGTGGTCGCCAGGGAGGTCGGGGTGGTGGCGCAGGTGGTAGTGGTGGTGTTAGTGGTAGTGACGGTAGTCCGCCTGCTGGGACTACCACTGGTCGGCAGGAGCAGCAGCCCCTGCCGCAGCAGGAGCAGCCCGAGCCGCCGCCGCCGTCCCAGCAGCAGCCGTCGCCCCAGCAGCAGCCGCCGCAGCAGTGGGCTCGTCTCCCGCCTGGTTGGCCTGGCACCAGCGGAGGTGGTGGCCGTGGTGGCGGCCCGCGCAGCTCGGCGTCTACCAGCGGCTCCGGTGCTGTGACCTGCCAGTACCAGCTTCAGACCGGGCCTCTTCGCGGCACTCTGTGTCGCCGCCCGCACCCGACTGCCCGCTGTTTTCGCCGCCTTGACGATCTTTTTCGTCGTCGCTTTGGCCCGGCCCCGGACCTCCCTGACTGGCACAGCCTGCTCTGCCAGGGCGTGCCGATCTTTGAGTTAGACATGGATCAGATAGGTGCTGCGTTGCATGCTTTGTATTCTGACGCTGCTAGTGTTGCTGGATCTTATAATCCTGTGTTCTCCAGCTTAGGTGTTGCACCCTTGTGTAGCATAGCTTCCCCTGCTGCGTCAGGCGTAGGACTGCCTAGTTTGCCTAGCCCAGTCTCTGCACCGGCCCCGTTCCCGGCCTCCGCCACTGCATCGCTGTCGTTCACTCTCGACTCCGGTGCTTCTGCCTGCTTCTTCCGCGACCGCTCCGCGCTCACGCCGCTTGCTACACCTGCTGTCGTCTCTCTCGCTGACCCCTCTGCGGGTCCTGTCGTTGCTCGCAGTTCTACGTCCCTTCCCTGTCCTGCAGTTCCCTCGGGCTCCCTTACAGGCCTCCACGTTCCCTCGTTTTCGAGGAACCTGCTTGGTCTCGGCTGTCTCCAGGACCTCGGCGTCACCACCACGTTCCCCGGGCACGAGCGGTTCGCTGTCTGTTCTGAGGCTGTCTCAGGTTCCCCCCTTGCGACGTTCCCCCGGGACCCGGTGTCCGGTCTGTTTACCCTCGACACCGCTTCCCCCCCGGTTGGTGCGTCCTCCCAGGTCGCTGCAGCTTGCTCGTGTCGTTCCCTCACTCACCCGTCCCTTCTCTGGCACCACCGCTTAGGTCACCCTGCTCTCCCTCGTCTGCGTCACATGTCCCAGCACGGTCTTGTCTTAGGCCTCCCCGCGTCGCTCCCTGTCCTTCCTCCCTCTACTGCGCCACCGTGCACGCCTTGCGTCGAGGGCCGCCTCCGCCGTGCTCCTCCTCGCTGCGCCCTGCGACTGCCCCCCTCCAGACCCTGCACCAGGACGTCTGGGGCCCTGCCCCCGTCCCCGGACCGCTCGGTGAGCGCTACTTCCTTGTGCTCGTCGATGATTACACGCGCTACACCACGGTGTTTCCTCTGGAGCGGAAGGCCGACGTGCCCGACGTTCTTCTACCGTGGGTTGTGGCTGCGCGTCTTCGCTGCAGTCTCCCCGTGTTGTGTCTCCACTCTGACCATGGCGGCGAGTTCACCTCTGGTCGGCTTGGACAGTTCTGTCGTGCGGAGGGCATCAACCCAGACGTACACCTTGCCAGACTCGCCACAGCAGAATGGGGTTGCTGAGCGCCGCATTGGCTTGGTCATGGAGGTTGCTCGTACCTCCATGATTCATGCTGATGCCCCCCATTTTCTATGGCCGTTCGCTGTTCGCTACGCTGCTCACCAGCTTAACTTGTGGCCACGCTCTCAGCGGCCACAGGTTTCGCCGACCCTCCTCTGGACCGGGTCCCCTGGTGACACGTCTACGTTCCACGTCTGGGGCTGTCTTGCTCACGTTCGTGCCTCTGGCACGGACAAGCTCACTGCCCGCACGGTCCCCTGTGTCTTCCTTGGTTTCCCCCTCGACTCGTCTGACTGGCTGTTCTACCACCCCCCGTCTCACCGCTTCCTCCACTCTCGTGACGTCACCTTTGACGAGTCCGTCTCCTTCTACCGTCGCTTCCCTCACCGAGGTCTCCCGGTTGCCCCGCCCCTGTTCCTTGCTCCCTCTCCCCCGGTAGCCCCTGCGCCTCCCCCGCCTCGCCCTGCCCTGTCTGGTGTCTCTCACGTCACTCCCCTCCCGTCGGTTGTCCCCGTTGAGGAGTCCGCTGACTCTGGTGGTACACCTGGCCCGTCCGTACCATGTCCCCCTCCCCCGGTGTCTTCGCCTCCACGGTCGCAGTCGCCCCCTCTGACGCAGCCGCTGCCGCCGTTGCCGCCGCCGCTGCCG